CAAAAGGACTGTAAGATCATTCTAATTATGTGCTTAAAATGTTCTTGGTTATTTATTTCAAACTTTATTTTACAACGTACCCATGTCGGTAATAATTGAAGGTTGGTATTAGCTAGGGTTAGGTGTTGCTCATTATCAAGAGTTAGGTTAGATGACTGGTTTTGGGCACATTGTAGGACGCAGTCTTTATGAGCCTATCGAACCGGGTTGTGATTTAGGAGAAGTCTTGACATAGTGAGAAAGTCCCTTCATGAGAAGAAATAATGGACATAAGATTATCATTCGAACCAGTATAAAAATCTCGTGTGTTCCTTGGTTAGTTTTTGGTTTGGTTGTAGCTTTTAATTTTCTATATTTTCGCTACATATTCTGTGTTTTAGAAAATAATGACAGTGAACCTATTCTCCCACCTCTAAACTTGCATATCAGATCTAACGAGTGGTATCAGAGCCTCATTACCCATCTTTAGGATTCACAATCTAGAGTAGAGATGTCTAGTTTGACCATTGCAATTGCTTTTCCTGAGGGACACCACAGTGAATCGACCCCTACTTTTCAATGGGACAAACTACATCTATTGGAAAGCATATGAGTGTATTTTTGTTGTCCACTGATTATGATGTCTGGAATAGTGTTGACGACAAATATAGTGAAACTAGTAACTACCATTGTGGAGAGGTTGCAATTGTCACACCTAGAGACAAGTGGATCGCTCAGGATAATTTTTATTATTATTTATACGCTAAACCTATGAACGCTCTTTATTGTTAGGTCTCGTATTTTGATGATGGTTTACAAAACTCATTTGGTACTAATTGCTTGCCAAGTGATATTATATAGGATATATATTTTATCAAGCAATATAGTGCCATAGTTGGAGGTTGGATGAAATTGAGCTTAACGATGACATCTAAAGAAGGTTGACGAAAATTTGGAATGAAGCATTTACACACTCAAGACAAGACTCACTATTGCGCTTCATCCATTTTTACCAAGATCAAGCTCAAACGAAGATTTCTAAGGTTGGATATATTGTTTCTAGTTTAGGTCTTATACTGTGTGTGTTATACTTTAAAGCTCAAATATTACATACATACACGTTTTCGTTTTATAGCTTTCAAGTTTAAATAAATATGAAACATATATATATATATATATATATATATATATAAAGCTAAAATATTACATACATACACGTTTTCGTTTTGTATATATATACTATATAAAAAGTATAGTATATATATATATATAAGTATATATATATAGTAGTATATAGTATATATATATAGCTCAAATATTACATGACATACACGTTGATTTTGTTTTATAGCTTTCAGTTTAAATAATATGGAAAACATATATCATATAAAGCTCAAATATTACATACATTGACACCGTGTTTTGTTTTATACTTTCAAGTTTAAATAAATATGAAACAAGTTAAGTATATATAATATATATATATAATATATATGACTACAATATATATATATAGTATAGTATATTATAGTATAGAGAGAGAGAGAGAGAGAGAGATATATAATAGAGAGACGGAGGAGAGGAATATTGTATGCTTGTACCGGCAAGCACAATTTGTGCTTGGTAGTGAGGTGGAATATATCCCTCCACTCATTCGAAATGGACAATTCACCATGAGGTGAACATGTGTCCCCCCAATCTGAATGAGTGGAATGGGAATGAGACCACCTCACGTACCCAGAACACAAATTTGTGCTTGGTAACCAAGCATACCCATTTTTCTCATATCATAATATTATCACTATTATATATATATATATATATATATATGATAAAAATATGATTAATTGACATTTTATATCTCGAGATATTTCATGTTATATTATCTTATAGCTAGTTTTAAACTTATCATGTTTTGTATTGTGAAATAGTTTGTTAAAAAGTTTTATATGTTGTTTATAAGATATTTTAGTATATATCAAGAGTTTCTTAGCATACTTTTGATAATATACATATATTCATTCTTTATATATACAAATGTGAATTTATGCTAAAAATATATTAAACAAAGAAGTGTATTTGTCCAAAGATAATAAAAAAATCCATAGTCTTACAAAATCCACATAAAATTGAGTATATATACTAAAAGATAGTCAAAGAACCATACTTATGGATTATATTTGTGCAAATCTTAAAGGATAACCATCTTGTACTAAATATTTTTATATTTTGAGATGGCGTGAATTGCCCTCCAAATACTATTGTTTTTCCTCCTAAATATTATACGGTTGAGGTGATAGGGTGACGCTTTTGTCTTTAGTTTTTTAAGTTGAGATAGTTCAAGGCTTATTATCACTCATTATTCTCTTTGATATATCTAAATTTATCAAATGAACTAGTATTATAATTCTTTTTACTAGTTATTTTATATGCTCTACAATGATATTTTTCATCATTTTATATGTGATTTTTCTCATAATCAAATATTTTATGATTAGATTTTAATCTCATGTTCTATTTATATAAATTTATGTGTGAACTGGTATGTATATCTCTTCCTTACACCTTTTGATAACTTTTTTCTGGAATTTTTAAGTATAAAGATTAATCATTGGCATGTTTTTTCATCTTTTGATAACAACAAAATAGGGAGAAATTTTTGTGTGAAATTTAAATTTTTTTACATGAGTGGAGTTTTTCAATCAAGTGTTTTCAAGTGGTTTTCAAGTACTTTTAATTTCTTTTACTTTGCTTTGAAATTTTTTGAAACAGTAAGTACATTGTTTTTTTTTTTTGGGGGGGGGGGGGGTGTTTTTTT